TCGTATGTACATCAGAAATTTCCAGTTTCTTTCTTGCTGTACATCGCAACCAAAACACTTGTCAAATTAACCAAATCATTACTGTAAACAGCTCCATGAATGCTCCTATCTCTGAGACTTCACAAAAAAAAAAAAAACTCTTGCACGCCTTGCATGCCTATGTTTAGTCTANTGTCAGATTACTGTAGTTTGTTCAGTCAAACATTTTATGGCTTACTATTTAGCTATCTTACCATGACTGACGTAACCATCGCAACCAAAAAAACTTGTCAAATTAACCAAATCATTAGTGTACCATGAATGCTCCAATTTGCGACACTTCACACCAAAAATACCTCTTGCACTCCCTTCGTGCCTATGTTTTTTTTATTCTGTACTGACTTATATTCATCTTCACTCGGCCATGAAAGCAATGGTGGCAAATTTCCTTATATTTCTTGGTCTAATTTATTATTGCCATCAGATTCCCACTTCCCTTTTGACGTTATTAAATTGGTTTGAAAAATAAACTAACGGTAGTTTAACAAATTAAAGCAGAGGCAAACATTGATCCAGAAAATTACTATAATTTTGGTATGAAAGATAGCAAAGTATAACTTACTAAATTAATATTGCATCTTTTCTATTGTAAAGACAGTGCAACTACTAAATAAATAGATTGACCACAAAAATAAAACACTGTCATGACTTTAGCAACACGGGTCAGTGAGGATATTGCCAGTTTTGCTTTTGCCACCAACCACTCTGCTTAAAAACTACATGGAAAATAATGACAAAAGCAATAACAAAACCAGTATTTAAATAAAGTCTACGAGTCCTCAGCTTCTACGTTCGCTATGAATGATCAACTGAAAGGTTTGAAGTGTAAATGGAGGAGCGCTTAGCAAATGATCAAGGGCTAGGTTTATTGGCTCAGTTGAGCTGCGGACAGAAATGTATGAACGCAGGCTGAGCTTGTTGCTAGCAGAAAAAGATCATATGAAAATTTCCTACTTTGAAAAAAAAACCTTTTGAAAGTGCTTCTTTGTTTACAATTTTTTATGATTCCAACGTGATTGAAGGAAGTTTTGCGCGGACTAAAATGTCCTTGAGTGATTTTTCCTTCTTGTAAGATACAATCGGTGGCTGGTTAAAGATATGTGCAAGTCTAGGCTGCCGTTGAATGATATGCCAGTGTTTCATGAGAATGTTTTTAAGATTCGGTGTGGCCGGATTATAAGTGGTAAAAAACGGTAAAATTTCTTTCGCCTTCTTTGTTTTGTTACGAAGAGCTTCTATTCTGTTTGAGAACTGAACTTCAGTCAAGATTTTATGAACGAGCGCCGTGGGATAGCCTCTGTTACAGAGTCTTTGCTCAAAATCTTGTTTGCATTTATTAAAATTCTCTTTGACTGAGTTGGTTCTTAAAAGACGTAATGCTTCTCCTTTGATAAAACCCTTTTTAGTATTGCACGGGTGGCAGGATGAGAAGGGTGTATACTGAAAACTTTCAGTGGGTTTGAAGTGGGTTTGTGAATCGAGAATTTTGAGAGTTGAAAGGCGAGGTCCTTGGAGCACCTCTGTGTCGAGAAAAACAGCGCGTTCGGATGACATTTCACAAGTAAATCATAGGGTGGAACGAGTTAGCGAAGTTAACAAAAATGGAGACTTCTTCCATTGGAATGTTCCACAAAGAAAATATGTCATCGATAAACCTCTTCCAAACAAAGGGTTTCAGTGGGCTAGCCGCTAGCAGTCGTTTTTCAAGGTCTGCCAGGAAAATAACGGAGAAAGCGACCGCCATTTTAGTTCCCATCGCAATGCCGTGAGTTTGTGCGAAGTGTTTGTCATTAAACTTGAAGGAGTTTTCTTCAAGCATGAGCCACATTAAATTCCCGTAAATCGCTTGTCGGGATAGGTAATTTCTGCTCATAGTGATCTTCGTAATAGCGGCAAACAATGTCAATTCCTTCTTCTTGAGGAATGTTGGTGTATAGAGAACTAACGTCAAGGGTAGCTGGTATCACATTGTCTGGAATTTGCGTGTTTTCAATAAAATTGATGAAGTCGGTAGTGTCTTTTATATAGGACTCTTGTTTTATTGCAATAGGTTGTAGTAGTGAGTCTACAAAACTAGAAATACGCTCTGTTGGACCACTGCTTCCAGAAACGATTGGTTTGCCGACTGGTGTTTTCTTATGAATTTTAGTCAGCGTGTCAAATTCTGGTATACGTGGTTGTTTAAGACCGATTGTTAACTATTTGTGGGTCATTAGGTCGATGTGTCCCGAACGGTGTAGTTTATTAACCATTTCTTTTACTTTTCGGGCGGTGTCTTGCACAATGGGAGATGGAAGAGGCTTGTAAAACTTATCATTAGATAATTGTTGTAAGCCTTCATCTATTTTTTGTGCAGTATCGAGGATGACCGTTGTTGTTCCTTTATCAGCTTTTTTAAGGTTAATTTTGTTGTTGTGTTTTAGTGCGCTGATAGCATTTCTTTCGTCCGCTGAAATGTTATCAATTTGAGGGCGGAAAACTGCTGAAGCAAGTTCGAGTTTGGTTTCTTCCAAGTAATTTTCTAGAGCAACCGAGTTTTGAACGGGTGGTTGCCAGGTTGACTTGACTTGGAAGGGATGGGCAGAAGTTTTCCACTTATATGCGAACATGTATTTTAAGCGCATTGTTCTAGCAAAAATATCGAAATCCTTTAACAAGGATTTGTTTGAGCTAGGAACTGGAGGGGTTGGTATAAATTTAAGGCCTCTCGAAAGAAGTTTAACCTCGTCGTTTGAAAGAGCTTGGTTTGAAAGATTCTTAATGTATCTTTTGTTTTGCGCTCTAGTGTTATGGGTTAAGAGTTTATTGAGACTGTTTCGTCTGAGGGAGCGTTTTTTGTGACTCGTTGGAACGTATCGTTTGGGGTGAGTAGATTTAGAGTCAAAGAAAGACACACCAGTGTAAGGTTCAACTCTGTCTTTATTTACATTCATTGATTCGCTTAGTTGACAAAACATTTTCTGTAGCTCGGATAATTGAGCCTGCATGGAAGCGAAATTACAAGTTTGTTGAACATTGTGCGTTTTCTGAGTTCTAGGCCTAGGCCTTGGTCTGGCTTTCTTGGCAGGTTGGTTTCTGGAAGCCTGGAAGCTGTGCTGTTTTGGGTACAGGTTTTCTAGTAGCTGCTGCTGGGCTTTGATGGCCTGGTTGTCTGCAGCTAAATTATTTTCCTGCTGTTTGATCATAAGGGCAAGCAGCTCCTGATGGGCTCGATCGGTAATTGATCTGGTCAAGGGCGATCTGGAATTCTCGGTCGAACCTGATGTGTGGTTTTGGTCTGTACTGCAAGCCGTGGGGACAGATATATTTGCTTCCCTCGTCTGCCGTTGTGCTTTTTGGGGGCTGGCTCTGCGTCTGGAGTCTCGGTAACTGAACTGTCGTAATCACGTGGTCTTTTTGGTGACTTGATTGGTGATAGTGCGGGTACTTGGCTGTCCGCCATGTCTGTTAAAATGCCTGCCATCTCCGTATCGGATATTATCTGCCCCATGGTAGATTTCTGAAGAGAACTGTTTGTCAAGCTTCCATGTTTCCGATTATGGGATGTTTTCGATATTACTCAGAAGTAATTGAGGGATCATATCTTTTAATAAAGTGCAAAGTACTCTGTTGCAACTGTACAAGTAATGTGTTTCTTTGATCTCATAATGCACAGCATAATGACAATATCTAGCTNCATTTTATGGCTTACTATTTAGCTATCTTACCATTACTGATGTAACATCGTATGTACATCAGAAATTTCCAGTTTCTTTCTTGCTGTACATCGCAACCAAAACACTTGTCAAATTAACCAAATCATTACTGTAAACAGCTCCATGAATGCTCCTATCTCTGAGACTTCACAAAAAAAAAAAAAACTCTTGCACGCCTTGCATGCCTATGTTTAGTCTAGGCACTGTGTTGTGTTCTTGGGCAAGACACTTAACTCTCACAGTGCCTCTCTCCACCCAGGAGTATAAATGGGAACCGGCGAATCGTTGGGGAAACTTAACAAATTGCGGGGGAGTGACCTGCGATGGACTAGCATCTCGTCCAGGGGGAGTAGAAATACTCCTAGCCGCTTCATGCTACATATACCGGGATAAGCTCTGGCAGCTATGAGTCATTCGGCTCCAAGGCTTCACTTGTTTTAGTCTAATAGAACATGATCAGACACATCTTGCCTTCAAAGGGAAAATTATTCTGGATTTTTGCCCTAAAAATACATAAAATTGCAATCCTTAATTAATAGAGCTGAAGTTTTCTATGAGTGATGGTTAACTTGGTTGCACCTTGTTCACAATAATGCTCATAGAAAACATGGGCCTGTTCTCTAAATGTTAATGAGAAAATGAATCACTTCAGGTGGCTCAAAACAGTTTCTAGCACTTAGATTGTGATGGGTTGTTTATAACTACTCTTTATCACTTGATGCTACAATCATGGTATCAAAAAACTGCCCAATCATTGGTGAACACATTGTTATCATTTTCGTGACACAATAGGTTACCATAGCAACAGTATGAACTATTTAAAAACACCCTTAATTACAGCCTTAGGGGTTATAATTCAAAAACGGCATGGTGAAATTTTTTATATTATCAAATTTTAATAAGCAGGATACGACACAACTTTTGGCAAAGTTTTTAAAAAAATCTGTACATAGGGTTCAGAGCCACCTTACATCTTTGAAAATTTAAGGTGGCTCTGAATCCTCTGTACAGATTTTTTTTTTAAACTTTGCCAAAAGTTGCATCTTGTGTCATGCATGAAAATGATAACAATGTGTTCACCAATGATTGGGAAGTTTTTTGATACCATGATTGTAGCATCAAGTGATAAAGAGTGGCTATAATGATCCATCCAAATCTAACTGCTGGAAACTGTTTTGAGCCACCTTAAAGGGCTAATTAATTACATCCAGATCAAAATAGTCTTTTTAGGAAATTAATGATACAATCATTATTCCCAAAGCTTACTTCAGTGGCTTTTGCTGTTTTCGTTATCCAGTCAGCCGGAGCTTTACTGCCCATCACACTTTTCCTTTCAGGGAATATTATCTGACCTAATCATGGATCAAAACACAGCAGAGTTAATAATCACTTATCATTGTGTTCTAAAGCAAATAAATAAATGTGATTAGTTCAGTTATTATTTAACCCATTGACTCCTGTGCTGGCCGTAACCAGCTGTGACAAGCTTTGGCCTTTGTTCCACTTCTGACATCATCACTTTGACCAAAATTGGCATCATCTATACTCAAGTTCTGCAGGAGGAAAAGATCTTTCCAATGATACTCAGATCAGAGTGATCGGCTCACTGGAGCCTGAGATAAGCAAGAAAATTTGGATGAAAAACTTGTAGCAAGATTTCCTGCAACTACACTTAGCTATGCCATGGTGAAAATTGTCCTTCTCATTGCTGCTTTCACATCAATTTTAAAACTGCAAGCAAGCCCAGTGGAAGGTCAATCACTGCCGCAAAATAGATAAGAAAAGAAGGAAAAGAAAAGGCAAAAAAAATTAAAACAACAAAAAGCCTAAGGACATAAGACACTTTCTCATCATTTTTATTGATCATTACAGTGGTTGGCAATATAATGGTATCTTCAATTTTCTGAATTTGAGATTACAGCAAATCATGGGAACTCAAAATGCATTTCACTGGGTCAGTATCATAGTAGTAGGTGATTTGTTCCAGTCTTTGACAACTGGATATTTCAGAATACAACTGACTGTTATGATGCTCTTGCAACCAACATGCGGACAGAGCATTTCACATTGTTTGACCTCACTCAAGTCATGAGAAGGATGACATGTCATTTGCAGAACTGTTAAATTGATTAAAAGAAGGAAACTGTACTGAAAATGACATTGAAACATTGAAAAGAAGTGTGCTTACAATAAAACCTGGTCATCTAAATTACCCAATTCATGCAAACCATTTATTCACAACAAATGAACTTGTAAATAGTCACAATAATGCCGTCTTTCATAACACACCAACTGACAAAACCCAAGTCAAGTGTATCGATCTAACTGTTGGAGATATATCTGATGATCTGAAGAAGACAATGAGAGAGAAAATCCCAGACGATCCTGTTAAGATTGTCCATTTACACATTCTTAAGTTCAGGTTGTTGTTTTTTATTGTTTCCCTTTGATCTGCCTATTCTCGCTACGACTTCTGGTATTACACGCGCCTCTTAGTGTCATTTTGTGTTGATCAAAGTTCAGTTGGCACATAAGACAAGTTTAAGAAGCACCAGCCACTCTGGTTTTCGCTTTTTCGTTCAATTTAATCAAGTATTTTCACTGTGTGGGTCAGATATGTAAGTGATTTTGTTTCTTTGTAATTTAAATGTACTTCTTATCGATTTAGTATGTTGCACGATTCTATTCTAGCTCAAATTTATTGATATCATTTTCCCTCGTGCACACGCAGATTAGTAGTCTGTTTCTTAGCATTACAAAAATGATTATTTCAATTCATTTTGAAGTATTGTATGCATTGTTCCTAAGCAAGTATAGATTTGTATTGTTCATGCATATTTTCATCTTTGTTTTGGGATTGTTTGTGTGTGGAACATTATGCAGAATCATTATTATGCAAGTTAAGGGTTCTGCCTCCAAAACATTAATTGTGAAATTTGTGTTAGGCATTTGCCATTAGTTTTTATTTACTTTAGCCTATTACTTAGTTGTATTTTGTAACCGTTGTTTCCAGTTTACGAGTATCATTGAACCTTTCCTCTTGGTCAAGAAAAAACACTTTCATTGACTTCATGTTTTGGGTCTTTGTCTCCGTAAAATTCGCCCCTTCCATTTGTAACTGTCACAAGAAATCCTCCACACTGTCCAGTTCCTCCACACACTCAAGGAAAATCAAGGCTGCAGAAAAGGCCACTAGGTTAGAAGCTGAAATGAAATACTTGGGGAAGGACGCCAAGTTGTAAAGGATTAAGAGGATGACAGAATTGGAAATGGCTAAAGCCGAGATGGATGCCATGAAGATAAGATAAGATAAGAACTTTATTAACTAGACTTTCTGAAAAGTCCTTCGTCTTGTTTATTCAGTACCCGCCAGATGAAGGACTTTTCCTGCTTGATTGCCGCCAATTTTAGCCACCCAAAAACGGGTCGCTGCGCTTCAACCAATCAGAGGTCCCCTGGATATCCCTTGGGGACCGAATTGTCAAATATGCGCAACCAAACGTGACTTGCGGTTAAATTCAATATGGGGTCAATTGCGAAAGCCATTAACGAAGCTTCAAAGGCCACGGAATATCATGTATTGCGTGACTACCAGAAGAAAACAGTGGAAGCATATCTGTCTGGAAGAGATGTGTTTGTTTCTGCACCAACCGGAGCTGGAAAAAGTTTGACTTTCGAGCTAGCTCCGTATGCGTTTGATTGTTTGAATGGAGATCATGCAAATAGCAACTCCATCGTCTTGGTGGTGGTTCCGCTTATTTCCCTGATGAAAGATCAGGGAGATGACTGTTCTGAACAACAGTTACAGGACATTTTAGATCTTAAAGTTAAACTGGTATTTGGAACTCCGGAGGTGATTCTCAACAACTATCGCCACATTGTTGTTCTGCCTTTCTGGGCTGCAATGGACTTCCTCGATGATTCGAAGTTTTCTCTTACTTCAAGAATCTTCCGAACTACGGTTTCATTTTTGTCTGCGTAATTTTGGCACAAAATGTTTGTCAAAAGTGAACCTTCACCACTGGATATCTCCTTTTCGGTGATCAATTCAAGATCCAAACAAGCTTTGGTCATTTTTTTGGCCGACTGATATCGTCAATTTTCGTTTAAAATCTTTGTTCGTAATCACTTTAGTATAGAGTAAGCAAATTTGCTCTTTCGACGCAGGAGAAATGCCGACACGTTCGACTGTTTTGGTCGGAGTGGAACCAATACTTTCTGCCATTCAATTCAATCCAAATGTAATCTGACAAACCAGTTGCAAGTCACGCCACTCCTCATTTTTGGTGCGAAACGCAAATGAAAACCCTTTAAGCGAGACAAGTCGACCTCTCGCGACTTTGTCGCTCGCTTGGCCGCTTTGCAACCTTAAAACAGCCGCTTCGCAGCCTAACATATTTTACCCTGAAATTCATGAGGTCGACTTGTGGCAAGTCTATTTATTAACGTGTCAAAGTCGCTAGCATACAATGTATACTAATGCATACTAATGTATACTAATTGGGGACACCTAACTACGATTACTTATCTAATAATTAATAAAACATTAGAGTACCAAGAAAACGTCAATGCAACTGAGCAAAACAAAATTTTTAGCCAAAGGACTCAGGAGCAAAGTGGACTGAATCAGGACGCTGCTCCTTTCATACCAAAGGAAACTACCACACCAGTTAATTTCCATTCCTATAATTTCCACACCCCTTCAGCCAGAAGCCACTGGGATCGCCACTGGACCCTCCCCTAATACCTGCCAAGTTAGAAGCTGAAGCAAAGGCACCATTTAATCCTTCCACACCATCATCCTTTGAACTACCACACTCTCCCATGAAGGTGGAACGCCGATCGTTAAGCTATACAAATCCAAGTCCAAATGAAGTTGCACTTCAAGAGATCGTGAAGCTCCAAGCCAAGCAAGTAAGTATTTTCTAAACAAATGTACCACAGGGAAGGCGAATGATGTCATCAAAGGTTTTGTCACTCTCACTTCTGCTGGTGACAGCTATAGGAGAGCCAAGAACCTGCTGGCCCCAAAGGTTTGGAGATCCCCACCGTGTCTCAAACGCTTGCAAGTCTCATCTAAAGAACTGGTCGCAGATTGGCAAACGTCAGAGTAACTATCTTAAGGCTTTCTCAGACTTTCTGGGACAGTGCAAAGAAGCTATGACAAGTAAGAAGTTTCTGAGTGACTTGGACCCTACGGAGGTGCTGAAACAAGCTTTCCTCATATTCATATTGGTGCCACCATGCCCTCAAAATCAAGGAAAACCATGAACGAGCAGTTATATTTCATGATCTCGTGAAATTTGTAGAAACAGAAGCTGATCTCGCTACAGATCCAGTTTTCTCCCCAGACATACTAAAGTCAGAACGTAAGAAGCCTTCTGAGAGAGACAAGAAAGCTGGCCATAAAAACTAAAGACAGCCACTAAACTTAAGGATGTTCGTGCTAATTGTTTCTGTGCATCCTTACTGTATGCACAAATTCACATGCTACGTCATGCATCAATGCACATGCTAAGTAATAAAATGTAAGTATGCTAAGTAATAAGGAAGATGGCCATTGCTATAACTTTGCCTGGATTTAAGACTCACTGACTGAAAATATCGAGAATGGCTGGCCAGGTTAGAAAAATCGTAAATCCTGAAACTTTGCCTAAAGAATGCTTTTAGGGAGCCACTTTCGAAAATATTATTCCGATTTTCTTAGAATTTATAGTCTTTGAGAAATTCGCAAAAAACAAAAATATAGCTTTTTGCCTCATTAAATATGCAAACAATATCTGGAAAATTGACAAAGTTCTCGGTATTCGCATTGAAACAATTTACAAAACTAGAACACGGGGTAAACTTAGCATAAGAGCTTTACTTTTCTTC